GGGGGGGGTACAATGAGGGATGTGTCACTTCTTGCTCTGTGTGCTCCATCAGCAGGAGCTGGTGCACTATATGCAGCAGGCTTCTCGTATAAAAGCTCCTATACAGCACCTGGCAAGATCTCCCACAATGATCCCCACATTAACTGTAGCGCCGGAGCAACCCCTCACAACGCATCCACAATCCAAATAGTATACACATCTCCAGCAGATAAATCGTTTTAGGAAAATGCTAAATGTTTCCATTTCTCTGTCAATCTCAGACTACACGATTTAACAAATACTCAGCCTCCTTTAAGACCAGGAGTAGTCACAGGCATGAAAATAAGACTCGTCCTTACCTTTGTCCGTTTCTCTAGCATAGAAAACCCCCAAAATAAGCTCTGCACGGTTTTACTGCCGGTGGTTGAATAAGCAAATCCAGGTGGGAAAGTGTTTGCACACCCCGGTAAGCTCTTATATATTGCCTGCAAAATTAGCTGTTATTACTGTCACTGTTTAGTGATGGCGAGCTTGAAAAAAAATAAAAAGCCCTCTGCAATCAAGAACCAAGCGCATCTTTGCAAATTATAGGTAATTGTCAATGTCCAGATTATGATAATGGAAGCTCTAATCCTGGAGAATAATTATTGTGGAGTGTTACAGTTGAAGCTGTCCAGTAAAGCTAACTGTCATTATTTAGACTCGATTTGCGAAACGGGGGGAAACTGAGTGGAAAATGTTCGGTTGGAAATAAACGGGGGCTCTCGATATAATGGCACCACTAGTGTGTGTGTGTGTGTCTGTGTGTGTGTGTGTGTGTGTGTGTGTGTGTGTGTGTGTGTGAGAGAGAGAAAATTGTTTGGGAGAGAGAGAGAAATTGATTGGGGGACATACAGTAGTGATGTGTATGTGTGTGCGTGTGTGTATGAGGGAGATATAAAGGCCTATGTGTGCCCCTGTGCACGAGGTTGAGCGCGCGCCTGAGTGTCATTGAGAGCGTGCACGTGCAATGTGAAAAATCTAAAGTTCTCGAGTGACCTGCTCCCATTGTAATTACAGGACTACCGTTTAGCCTACAGCATAAGTAAGTTAGGCAGAAAAGTAACAAGCACGGTGGCGTTTCAGAATAAAAAGAAAATGTTCTGTTTGCTCCCGTGTGTGTGTGTGTGTGTGTGTGTGTGTGTGTAACGTGTATTCAGTAGGCTGCAATCAGGACGAGGAATTCTGTGTCAGGTGGAAGTGGTAACATGCATGGGTCAGTGTGGGTCAGATACAGTGTTGTTTAGTGTGTGTGGTGTGTGTGTGGGGGGGGGGCTTGTGAAACATGTTCGTTTGCAAAAACTCTCTTCTATCTTTGAGCATATGGCCGGGCAAATTCAATTAGATCAATTTTCAAATCCCCAATGTTTCCCACAGTGGCACGGTTTGTTTAGTGGTTTTTGCAGCGGCAGCGCTGGTATTACTGGCTGCTAATAACATGGTGAATTTGTGGAGGATTTTCCTTTTCTCTTTTTTTATTTCACCCGGAAGGTGGGCTGCGGCCGGGAGTGGCAGGGCTCTGGAGCCGGTCTACCCCCACAGGAATGCGGATTGTCTCAGATCTCCGTGCCGCCCCCCTCGCCTCCTCTCTGCCATTCAAAGCGGCTAATTGTAGGGGACACAAAGCGAGAGCGACTGCAGACTGTCTGCTGCGAGAAGCAGGCTTTTCCTCTACAGACGAGCTGCAACTGAAAGGCTCAATCAGGTTCTGCACTAAAATACAATACGAGTGATGAAAAGGTGATCATTCTGGTGGTGATCAGAGGCAGTAGTGAATAAAATCACAATAATAATAATAATTAAAATAATTCATATCCGAATATTAGATATGAGGGGAAATACACAGGAAAATACTGTGGAATTAATGTTGGGTTAAAAAAAAGATGGATTATTATAACAATATCCGGATACAAAGTATTTAATAACACCATAAATTAGATTACAGGAAAAATATCAAGCAAATGCGCCACTTGACTTCTACAGACGCAATATCCGTCTTTATAAAATATTATAGGACTATTATAATAATATTTTGCGGAAATCACAACAGGAATATTAATGGACAAATCAATGCAGTTCAAGAAACACCGGTATTCAATGTTGGTAAGTGTTGCTAATTATAAGGCTTACACTTGTAGTAGCCATGGTTTTCTCAGAAATGTATTTTCAATAACACGTTTGTTTAATGTCTGTTTAATAAAACCATACATTTGCACTGTAATTATTTTCCTTCCTTATCTTCATAAATGTAGATTAAAATGAGCCTGATCATAAAGGAAAATGAAGGCACATTCCTAAGGCAGATATTCGTTTATCCCCTTCTCCTCGACGATTGTTGTCTGTCTGCGTAATAAATCTAATACAAAATAAAATTCACAGAATAAATATAAATCCTGGGTATTATGGCGACGGAAAACTACCAATTATTACGACACTTTCTACATTAATCTCAATAAGGAACATCTGTGATTTACAGCCTTGTGTCATCTGAGGCTCACAAACGTTATTTATGTCCGTGAGTCTTTGTCGTGATTTTCAGTGTAAATAACTGAGGGTTAAAATAACAAGAGACTGCGGTGAGGCCGGAGGTTTCAAAGTTCCATTGTCCATTTAAACGTTTAATAGTCTTCCAAAATGCAATAAATTACATGCACACATTTACACATTTTACACGTTTCTTCTATGACTGTCATCAAATACATTGCATATTCCTCTGAAATTTGAACACGAGTCCCATAGAAGGAGAAAAAAAAAAGAAAAAAAAAAGATCTGAAATGAACAACAGGGGTTTTTTTTCAATATAATGTCCCCGCTCCAAGAGCCAATGAGTGCTGTATCGAGTTAGGGGTCTGCAGGTGGGCAGTCATGCTGGCAGAGGTGTACCATGACCCAGAGTTTTCCAAAAAGTTAGAAGCCGCCGTGTTGATGTTTTGTGGCTGTAGGCTGTGCGGCCTGGAGGGGCCCTGCGTGTCCCAAACGGCCGGGGACTGTGGAGAGTTGCACACCATGGGGTCGCTGGAGCTGGGGCTGTGCTCCGGGGGAAGCTCTCCGTTTTTCATGATCTTCTTCAGTTTTGATCTCCTGTTCTGGAACCAAATTTTTACCTTTGGAAAAGATGGAAACACAGCGGCATTAATATCTCGTGTATAACCGTTTGGAAACAATGGTTTCAGTAAAGGCGCACAGAAACAAAGCGCCAATACGGTCAATATTTCTACCTAAGAGGCGTTATAAACATGTAAATATGCAAATGTGGGAAGACAGAATTTGATCTAAAATCTCACCTGTGTTTGCGTGAGTCCCATCGTGGCGGCCAGCTCGGCTCTCTCCGGCAGCGCCAGATACTGTGTGTTCTGAAACCGCCTCTGCAGGGCGGCCAGCTGGAAGCTGGAGTAGATTGTCCGGGGTTTCCTCACTTTCTTCGGCTTGCCGTTCACCATCCTCACCTCAGGCTCGCTTATCTCTTTTTCTGTTAAAAAAATAACAATAACAAGCATAAGCATGTGGGCTTATTAGAAATTGCAGTGTTTTATAAAATATATTTTGTTCGTGTGGGTTGTCGCCGATATCTCTTAAATCCTCAGAAAATCCAATATCATAAACCAAATGAATTGCAGGCTGGCTAAAAAGGAAAGCAACTTCTGTAATACTTAAAAATCACGTTGAATGACAGGTTTACAAATAAACAAAAATTACCATTCAATCCATATTTCTTTATTTAGCTTCATATTGCACATTATTGGATATTTATGTAGTCATTAAAAAAACACGAAGGAATGATTTTATTTTTTAAATCAACATGTTACAATTCGGTTATTTGACAAGTAATTTTCCAATAATAACTTGCTCTTTAAATGGCACCATAATGGACAAATCTGCGGCCCTTACCTTGTGGACTCGGCTGGGCTTGCACTCTGCTGTAAGTCCCAGCGTACTGGTGGTAAGCGGGGGTCGTGTACGAGCTGTAGTCGGTGTAGGATTTTGTCGAGTAATTTCCAGCGGATCCATTTACACCCGGGTACTGGTACTGGTAGGCATTGAGGGGCTTCCCGTACGAGGTGGAGCTGGGCGAACAGTAGCCGTGAGGGACTCCACCGGCGGGACTGTAGTAGCCAGAATCCGTGGCGGTGGACTCGGGTAAAGTAGGAGATTCCTGAGACGGGTGGTGCATGGTAGAGAGTTGAAATGAGCTCTGGAAGTCTGCAGTTTTCACACTCGGGATCCTCCGATCGAATACTCCAGTCATACTTCGAGGAGGAACGCGTGGGTTTTGTTTTATTTGATTAGCGAAAGACGAAAAAAGAAAAAAAGAATCGAGGCAGTCTGACTCCAAAGTGGTGTGAAAACTACACTGGCATTTTTGAAAGGCTCTCGGGCCGTCGGGCTCTGGTGAAGACTGCAGCCAGCCCCGCAGCAAAGACTTGGTTAAATCCTAAATCGCGCTCTTACGCACTGCAGGGAGGATCTGGTTCCATTGGCCAAGGCGCGCACACAGACACAGCTACACCCAATTCACTCAGCCAGCTTTCTTATAGGGGGGGAAACCACCCGGGCTATGAGGCTGCATTGTTGTGTTTTATACGATCAATCAATGGGAGCAATTAAAGTGTTGGCCGTGTCACCAATCGACGTTTAAGGAGGATGAATTAGAGGGACACAACTTGATTACCAAAAAGGCCTCCTGCTGTAAGACTGACCGGTTATTACGACTGTCTTCATTATTCTGTATTCATACATTCTTTTATTAAATCACACTCAACGTTATTTTATTATTGTTTTTACCGCCAAACAACCGCAAATGAACAGCACCAAATCAAATGTTTCAATCATTTCACATAAAAGAGAAATAATATACATAAAACAGAATAACTTATTATTGAGCATGCATGCTTATTATTTTTTATTTTAACAGTCATAGGCTAGACCTGATTATATATTCCTAAAAATATAGATCTAACAGTGTTAAACGTCCAATATGCCCAATATATTAATCAGCGAATCCAATATATGTAATGTGCTATAAAATAGATTACACACTTAACTATAATTACCCTTCCACGTTTTTTTTTCAAATCCATTCCAACTGCACTTGGATTGGTGTGTTATAATAATGCAAAAGAAAAGTTGACCATCTTTCCCAAAGGGACCATTAAAGATTCATCGCATCTTATCTCATTTTAAAACCTGCTGCTGTCGAGAATACGACATCAACGCTCAGCCCCCCCCCAGCCTAAATATTCAGTGGTGAACAGCGCCGACCAGTGGCCAAACTGGGGAGCGGCACTCCACGCTCAGCCTAGTGGCAAACCCACAAAGAAATATAATGACAAAGAAAAATGGAGGAATTTGATCTCACCGTATTAGGCCACTTTTTTTTAAATCAAGGTTAACACGTAATTATTAAAAACAAACAATTTTGACCAAACAGCTTCAGGGAAACACGTGTGAATATAGAAATCACTGGATTACCATTATATTGTATCATATTGCCAGTATCGTGTCATAAGCTGGATACGTTGTACCCAGTATCGAATGTGTACACTATACACAGTGCATAGGAAAAGGGACGTAAAACTGCATTGATTACACAGGTGTGTTGAATACTGTTTCCCCCACCCGAACAACCCTTATCCCCCGACCACCGACGGGGGCGCTGTCACTTTACCAGGAGGGAGACACTATTTGAAGGGAGAGCAGACTTTGACATAACACCGGCTTTTTTAATTGCACTTAATTATCTGAAATAAGCCTGACGCTTTCACTGTCTAGTCTATATGTTTAAACTATGAGGCTACTAGGCTAATTATATACACATTACGCATAATTCCTTAACAATTCAACAATGTTTAAGATGTATATCATACCATTCAACTCTTACCTGTGTAAGGTACTTCACCTGGAACCCAATGCTTTTATTCCATAAACTGTATTCTTGTGTTATACTGCTTCAAGTCAACAAGTAATCTCAACAAACTACTTTCCCTTGTTGAACATTCTGTGCACATTGTTATGCTTTTCTTATATCAATAACTGAACTGGCAAACAGGACTAAGTGTTGGAAGATTGTTTAAATACTTTCACGTTGGCTCACCTGACTTTGATACCCCGGAAGTACTCCCCCCACCGAGAATACTATTTAATATAATTTAATCTTTGATATAATACTATATTACTAGAATAAATCACATGTTTTACTATGCTCTATGGTTTATCTTTATGATAGAGGGCCATGATTTTATGAATAAAACTACCTTTGTTTTGTTGTGTGGTTTTGAATTCGAGTCCAGACTGAGAGCGAGCACGTCGCGTACGTCTGACGTCACTGATGAGTTCAACTGGCAAGAGAGTTCCCCTCTGAATCATATTAACGTAAACTAAAATGTAAGCATTTCACGCGTGCGTAAAACATTGGTAAACAGGTTTGAGAGTTTTTCTTCACTGTAAATAATGCAAAGTAAAATAGAATAATCAAATAAATAAACAGCACGTACTTGTTAAATAATAATAATAATTTTCCTTTACAAAGGTGTCGAGCTTAAATAAATGTCACAGAAATGTAACTATTTTTTAACAATTCAAACTATTGCATTGGCTGGAAAAATACATATTTTATGAGAACCAACCAAAAAGTATAAATATAAAGGTTTAGGCTGCTTAACGCCGGGAAGTGACCGAAGCCGGAAGTATAAGGGAGGCATCCTCTTGGCCTGCATGGGTCTTGTCTGTGCTATCTTTTCTCTCGGCTCCCGTTTTGTGTGTTGGGGGGATGGGGCCGTGCTGAGGATGAGAGACTCCAAATATTTACCACTTGGCTAACTAATTATCTTTATTTCCGAACCGAGCTTCATCCCTCGCTCTTGTACATATACATACTTTTACGATCACGCATGAGTTAAGGGGGAATTTGGCCAAATCAGAGTGGAGTATTCTGTACGTCCACGACACGCTTAAAAAAAGTCGACAAAATGTATTCCTCTGCTGGAGGTAAGTGGAGCAGCTAACATTAGCATCGTGATTAGCAAGTGATGCGGCTAGCTAAAAATGAACACACCATTTGTAGCATTTTAGCTGCTACATTTATATTTCTGACACACGTACTCGACTCTTTTTAAATGTAGCTAACTAGTTAATATGAATCTCAAACAATGTTTTGATCACCTGTCGTCCCAGTCTTAAGTAGCGGCATTAGTAGTAAAGGCTAGCTTAAGCTAGCGTGCAACAACAAGAAGCCGCTGTTAGCATACTTAGCATCAACGCTAACGTTACCTCGTTTACCCAACTTGTTGTCGGTAGCTGCTCAATGCGGTATGTTGTGGAATCGACTGGCGAGTGTTTTCTCAATGAGCCACACGAGTGTAAACACAGCGATCGTTGTTCACGAGTGTCTCACTATTTGACTCTTAAGTACAGAAGATAAAGCGATGTGTAGCGGCCGGCCATGCTAAATAATCTCAACACCAATCTTAGCAATGCTTAGCTAACAGCATCCAACTTTAATTTAGTTATGTTACATCGTTTTTGATCCCGGAGCCATCAGATCGCTCTGTCAATGTAACACGCAATTTATTGACATTGAGCATATAACGTAAAGTAAACGTAAATTAGGCATGTGAAGTTTGACTGAGGGTTTGTACAATTACAGTGTACCGCAAGAGTTTACTCTTATTTGGCTATTAGACGTTAGAATTACGTTAGAATATTATAGCATTTGCCAACTTTTTCTCTCTGTCATTGGACAGATTATAATTATTTTATGGTTTGTTTTCCATGCTGCTGGAGGGATCTCTGTTTTCTTTGCACTAAATATGAATTGGCAAGCTTGATCTGGTCATTTCCAGGAGAAATCATGTCCTTGAATTACGGGTAGCTTCAGCAGAGTTGGGAGGAATCGAGTAGGCTGGCAATCTGTTTGCATATTGATAAGAGTTTAAAAAAAAAAAAGGCACCCTTGAATGTGGACGATGGCGTTATAGAAGTGATAAGCGAGCAAGACATTCTGAATTCAAGCCTTCACGATGGAAATGTATAGAGATACGTAGTACTCTGTGCCACTTCATAAGTTATTTTTGTTAACTTGTAAAGCAGTAAACCTATATTTCTATCATGTGTTAAGTGACTCAAATGCATGTTTTTCACCTCTTTATGTGTTTTAAGTAAAGTGTGTATCAGATCAAATGTCACAACGTTATTTTATGTCCTCTGTAGCCACCGAGATGCAGGAGGGACCCCGTTCCTCTGGGTCCACCGGCTCTGGTAAGCTTTTCCTATTTTAAGCCTGATACTGGTCCCAACATCGGTCCAGTTTAAGTGGCAACATCTTGCATTTTTACACCATTCAAGCATCACCATGTGTACTCATTTGAAGTACGACTAAACCGTCTGACTGAATATATAAATTGTCCTGGAAATGGTACACTTCCAAAGAAGACAATGTCGTTCTAGATAGTCAATTTCCTCTAAATGCACCGTCATTTTGTGCTGTCAATGGCAGTAGGTATCCCACTCTAGAGGTTGTTGGATTAAAACCACCATACAGTATGTTACCATGTTTTCTGGGTGTTATTCTGTTTGAATGAACAGAGCTGGAGCACAAAGATAAGGCGCTGAGGGGAGATGAGAGTGGGCCCCGTCGGTCTCACTCTCATATCTGAAGTTGCAGATATGAAGCTTCTAGGTTCAGCCCGTCTGCCTGCGATGAAAGCTTAGTGTAGCTTCTCCAGGATAATACCCAAAAAAAATGGACAACACCTTTTTAATAAAAACTTATCAGACTGGTTCTGATTTGGAGCCGGGAAGGTCCAAATATTCACACATTGGAGACTTGATTCTGTAACTGCGTGCTCACTTCTTCCCCTCAGACATTCAGAAGCTTAATTTCAGATCAATAACTTTGACAACTGTAATTTCTTTTTCATTAAATGGCAGACGAACAACTCCAAGACTGCCCAGCCAATGGTATGTTTGTCCAACAAGATGTAGGAAGGGTTCATGATGAGGTCTCACTAGAAAAGAGCACTGATGCAGCTGCCATGAAATGAACATTCATGCCGGAATAACTTCTGCCAATCAAACCTGGGATGACATTTGCAACTTTTTCCATCATGATCAGTTGACAGAACAGTCTTTTTTTTATTAATGTGCACACACATCACATTTACATTATACCAATTGGGCCTTTAAGATCTTGGGGAATGTGTGATGTCCATGTAATGTGACCCTTATTTTGCAATTTGCCACTTTCCTCCATTTGACCCCCCTGTTTTAGACCCGCCATCCTCCCCAGTGCCAGAATATGTGTTCAAGCCACCGTCACGGCCGGACTTTGGCACCATGGGCAGGACAATCAAGCTCCAGGCCAACTTCTTCGAGATGGAAATCCCCAAACTGGAGGTCTACCATTATGACATCGACATCAAGCCTGAGAAATGCCCCAGGAGGGTCAACCGGTGCGTATATGTGTGTATGCTTCATTCGCAGCACACGGCAGATCAGTTGTTGAATGTAATTTCATTTGTTTCATTTTGTTCTCAGTGAAATAGTGGAACACATGGTCCAGCACTTTAAAACACAGATCTTTGGTGATCGAAAGCCAGTGTACGACGGGAGGAAGAATCTCTACACTGCCATGCCCTTGCCCATAGGCAGAGACAAAGTATGTTACAATTCAGGACAATCGAATGATATTAAAATATCACTGCAGTGCCTCTTGTCTTCATCTGTTCTTTCCCATCTGCCACACAGGTGGAGCTTGAGGTAACCATTCCTGGTGAAGGCAAAGACCGCAGCTTCAAAGTATCAATCAAGTGGGTGTCCTGCGTGAGCCTGCAAGCGCTGCACGAGGCTCTAGCAGGGCGGCTACCCAGCGTCCCCTTTGAGACCGTCCAAGCCTTGGATGTGGTCATGAGACATTTGCCCTCTATGAGGTGGGTTCCTTTATTATGATCCAACATTGGTTGATGTCTGGATGATTGATTGTCCTGCCTGTTGTTGTCAAATGACCACAGTGGATGTTTTAGACTCACAATATGAGTGATATCCAGTGTTGTATTCAGATAAACAGAAACCAAATTCATTTACCACACTGATGAAGGCAATCTAGCAACAAAGCATGACAGAAAAATGCTGTGCAACCTGTTTTTTACTTATTTTATTTTCTGAGCATACTTCCATGAACTGTTTGTTCTGTTGACTGGCCTCTGTTTCTCGGACGTTTCACGGCTGACTCCTCTGTTACAGGTACACGCCGGTGGGCCGCTCTTTCTTCACGCCCTCAGAGGGATGTTCAAACCCCCTCGGTGGCGGCAGAGAGGTGTGGTTCGGCTTCCACCAGTCCGTCAGGCCTTCCCTTTGGAAAATGATGCTCAACATCGATGGTAACGTTTCCTGCCGATTGCACATCGTTGTGTCAAGTCAAGTCGTGTCTATGAACCTCGCTTCTGTGTGCTGGTTCTGTTTTTCGCAGTTTCTGCCACTGCGTTCTACAAAGCCCAGCCTGTAATCGAGTTCATGTGTGAGGTCTTGGATTTCAAAAGCATTGAAGAACAACAGAAGCCCTTAACTGACTCCCAACGAGTGAAATTTACAAAGGAAATCAAAGGTAAGAGAAGCTCAGGAGCTCACTCAGTAGTAGCTTTTCAAGTCTTTGTTTGTCAATTAGATTGTTTTATTTTTGGTTATGTCTTGGGAAGATTTGATTCTAATATCTATTCATGATTTCATTTTTATACCTGATTTAATGTTTAGTTTAAATTAGTAGAAGATTAGAATCTTTTATTACTTCAACAATTTAAATATTTGTCCTTTTTTTCCACTGTAATGAGATATGTATGTCTTTGTCACAGGCCATTCAAAACTGGCTTTTATTAACTTTTAAATTATTAGTTTGTTCTCCTTCACCGCGATTCCCTCTTCCAGGCCTGAAAGTGGAGATCACTCACTGTGGGCAGATGAAGAGGAAGTACAGAGTGTGCAACGTGACCAGAAGACCAGCCAGCCACCAGACGTAAGACAGCTCTTGTGTCTCATCCTCGTTCACATTATATCATTGTTAATATTACATAAGCTGCAGTCAATGCAAACGTGCATAGAACAAAATGCACACAGAGATGGGACAGCATAATGGGACAATACACTACAAATGATAACAATCTAGACAATATTGTTGTATTTTTCTTCCTCTTAACTTGTGTGTGTGTGCGCGCGCTTCCCCTCAGGTTCCCCCTGCAGCAGGAGAACGGCCAAACTATTGAATGCACAGTAGCACAGTACTTCAAAGACAAGTACAAGCTGATCCTGAGATACCCCCACCTCCCGTGTCTACAGGTGGGGCAGGAGCAGAAGCACACCTACCTACCTCTCGAGGTAAGCGTCTCTAACCTCCTCTGCTTTTTGGAAAGTCACCCGACTCGCTGCCGATTTCCCCCCTAAAACTCCGTTTTGCTTCACGTGTGTCCTCTCCAGGTGTGCAACATAGTGGCAGGACAGCGCTGCATCAAAAAGCTGACAGACAATCAGACCTCCACTATGATACGGGCCACAGCCCGGTCGGCACCGGACCGTCAGGAGGAGATTAGTAAATTGGTAAGTCGTTGTGCTCATACCTTTACATAACCCGGCAGAATTAGTAAGATGTGTACAGTTATCTAAAGAAAACATGAGTGATCAGGCAAAAAACATTTCTTATATTTTTTACAGGATTCAAATTAAACTTTATGTATTCATCTTGCCATCAATTTAGACTAAATTCTCTGTGCCGCCATAGCTCACAAACCCCCAAAACATCAGCGATCCACCTCCATGCGTCACAGTAGGGATGGTGTACTTTTTGTCAGAAGCCTTGTTGACTCTTCTCCAAACATAGCGTTTATGGTTATGACCATAAAGTTACATTTTGGTCTCATCACTCCAAACGTTTTGAGGCTTTTGTAAGTGTTTGTAAGCAGGCTGCTTTGTGGCGGCAACCCGACTGTGCAGCCCATGTTTGTTGAAGTTCATCCTTATTGTGCATCGTGAAACAGCCACGTCACTTTTTTGCAGAGAAGCCTGACGTTGCTTGTGGCTTTTTCTTTGCATCCTCACCAATGTTCCTGGCAGTTGTGGCTGACATCTTTGTTGGTCCACATGACCGTGGCTTGGTATCAACTGAGTTACTAATTTTCCACTTCTTTATCGGAGTTTGAATACTACTGATTGGCATTTTCAAATATTTGAATATCTTTTTCTTGATTTATAAAGTTCTACTTTCTTTTCTGTCAGGGCCTTTGACAGTTCTTTTGTTTCCCCCGTGGTTCAGTATCTAGTCAGTGCAGCTTTTGATGAAACGTGCACTTTGATGAAATCTTAACTTGGTTACATATTCAGATGACATTCACATTTAATTTAACTGCTGTGTTGTTGTTGTTTATTTTCTTCCAGATGAGAAGTGCCAACTTCAACACTGACCCGTACGTCCGTGAGTTTGGAGTGATGGTGAGGGATGAGATGACAGAAGTCAATGGCCGTGTCTTACAAGCTCCTTCCATTCTGTATGGAGGCAGGGTATGTCGATCACCAGTTTCTATGCGTTGATAATGGCTTTTTACTTTTTGTGCATATATCTGCAACGTTTTGTTGGAATAACTTCATCTTGTGTACAGTGACGAGCACTAATAATGCCGCTGTCATTGCGATTCACAGAACAAAGCAATAGCCACACCAATCCAGGGCGTGTGGGACATGAGGAACAAGCAGTTCCACACCGGCATTGAGATCAAAGTGTGGGCCATCGCCTGCTTTGCACCACAAAGGCAGTGTACTGAACTGCTGCTCAAGTGAGTGAGATGCATGAAGTGCACGTATTTCATGTCATTGTGTGCATGGGCCGTTTGGTGGCAGGCAGCCCATGATTATTTTTTTTTTTTAATGGAAGTGCACAAACGCAAGTACACATTGGTCCATGAGCTGGAGTTTCAAATGTTGCAATCAGGATCGTAGAAGCGGCACAAAGTCTGTCTCGCTTGATTTGTGCCTCTGTTGGGTCTTTCACAACGTAAGAGTGGTTGTTGATTATATACAGCTGTGCCATTTATTTCCACTGCCGTCGCTAGGTTTTGTACTCACATTGGTAACATATTTAAGCGCTCTGTACCCAAGTGATACTGAACTGCTAAAAGGACAAATTGTTCTTGCTAAGATATTTGCCTGTCACTTTCCATTATTGTCTCGGGCAACCTCAACCGCTAAACTTCACTGAACTATAAGTAAACAAGTTCCTCACCTGTTTCAGAGCATTCACCGATCAGCTGAGGAAGATTTCCAGGGATGCAGGGATGCCCATCCAGGGTCAGCCGTGCTTCTGTAAGTACGCCCAGGGAGCGGACAGCGTGGAGCCCATGTTCAGGCACCTCAAGTACACCTACCAGGGCCTCCAGCTGGTGGTAGTCATCCTGCCGGGGAAGACGCCCGTCTACGGTGAGGGATCCACTCGGGCAATCTGTTGTGTCATTTAGTGCTGCATGATTTTATATTCCTGCTGGAGAGATGAGAGACATCCAGCACATTGGTATTTTAAGCCCAATCAATCTATTTAATACAACGATTTTTTTTCTACCCACATCAGTTGTAATTTAATGAATTTACGCTCAAATAGAAAATGCATTTATTTATATTCCACTAAAGGTTCACCAGTGTGGTGGACCAAACCGTTCCTCCAGTCCCAAATACTTGTGATAGATCTGTATACCTGCACAAAACATCAATATTGTGCCTTATCATGTTTCATATTTCCTTATTGTTGCGATGTGTATTGCAGCTGAGGTGAAGCGCGTTGGGGACACGGTGCTCGGCATGGCCACGCAGTGTGTGCAGGTGAAGAATGTTCAAAAGACGACGCCTCAGACGCTCTCCAACCTCTGTCTGAAGATCAACGTCAAGCTGGGCGGCGTCAACAACATCCTCCTGCCGCAGGGCAGGTCAGTGAAGATGCTAATAACTAAATCCTGAAATGAATCCATGTGGATATCTTTGAAGTCTGTCAAACTATTATCCGACTTTTGAAAATGCCTTTCATTTGTGCGTTCTTGTTCCAGGCCGTTGGTCTTCCAGCAGCCAGTGATCTTCCTTGGTGCAGATGTGACTCATCCTCCTGCAGGAGATGGAAAGAAGCCGTCCATTGCTGCTGTACGTAACCAACATGATCACAAAAAAAAGTTCAATGTTCAAACATCTCTGCAGCTCTTAAGCTTCTTTCAACTCACTGTTTGGGTTTTTGGTTGATACTAAATGATATTTCCTCTTTTTTTCTTTAGGTGGTTGGTAGTATGGATGCCCATCCCAGCAGATACTGTGCCACGGTGCGGGTGCAGCAGCATCGGCAGGACATCATCCAGGACCTGGCCACCATGGTGAGGGAGCTGCTCATCCAATTCTACAAGTCCACTCGCTTCAAGCCCACCAGAATCATCTACTACCGCGACGGCATCTCCGAGGGCCAGTTCAACCAGGTGATACACATATCAGGGATGACGCAGAATAAACTATGAAATATCAAAGTATAGACAAGTGTGTTTAGGCAGCGGAACCCATGTAAGTAAATAATGTACATAGCAGAGCTTAGTGTTTGTGTTTCTGTCAATTCTGTACATGTTTACTTGGGTGGATTTTATCATCATCTATGCAACTTTTCATGTTATTAACTTTTGAGATGCAGGTCCTTCAGCACGAGCTGCTGGCGATCCGCGAGGCCTGCATCAAACTAGAGAAGGACTACCAGCCTGGTATCACCTTTGTGGTGGTGCAGAAGAGACACCACACGAGACTGTTCTGTATGGACAGAAACGAGAGGGTCAGTATCGGGTCACTGGTGGGAGTTTTGTAATCAACCT